GACATTTGCAGCACTTTTGCGCAGGGGTAGCGTATCGGGCTACCTATTTTGTTCAACATATATTTAGGTCCTAAGTTCGCTAAACCTGTGCTACCTAAAAGCCTAAGTAAATATATTTAGGTCCTTAGTTCGCTAAACCTGTGCTACCTTAAATCCAAAGTGAATATATTTAGGTCCTTAGTTCGCTAAACCTATGCTACCTAAAATCCAAAGTGAATATATTTAGCTGTGCTACTCAATCGTCGTACCTGACATTCTTGAACCGTCGTATGAAACCGCGGTCACATAACCGCCGTATAGGGCCATTCAGCGATGCAATATTAGCACCCCCACTCACCGCGAATGTTGGTTATGATTGTTTGCTGACCGTGTCTTGATTGCAGAAGCTTCACGCTAAAACTGCAGCATCTTGGCTCCGAGTGCTTTCGTTAGCATATCTGCAAGCTTATATATAGTCGATCTTCAATCGTCCTTCTTGCACGTTCTCACGAATGAAGTGGTGCTTGATATCCACATGTTCTGTCCTCGCATGGAATCCGGCGTTATTGGCCAATGCGATTGCTCCTTGATTGTCTTCCCGCAACTCGACCCATGTCCTTTAGGATTGCTCGCGTCCAAAGAACGATAGATTTAGCCGTGTGGTGCAATCACGTATAGCTCACGATTTTTAGTAGCGGTAGACTATGCGGAAGCATCGAGCGTGCCGAGTACGAATACGAGGCAGATTACTTTTCCCGCCGGTCCCGTTGACAACATTTGTCGTACAACCGTAATATTTTAATTAATTTCTTATTAAATATATTGTAATTTTTCAAAAATGCAGGTTTGCACAAAACATTGTTAGTATGAATTTTAGGCATTTGATTAATGCATTAGTGAGCCACCGCAATTGGTAGAAATCTTGGATTTGCATTCATCCACCCCTGATGCTGCGCCGCACCTTGTTGACGCCGCGCCTGTGTCGCTTAGTTCCGACACCGAAACTGTCACATACTCGCAGGTTTCACCGTTCGACAGCTGCTATGGCACGTATCTTGTGTAGTGATCCTATCGACTCTGTGTGCCCCGAACTTTTGCGCGCCGCTGGCCACGACGTCACGACTAATTGCGCTGCACTCTCGCACGCCGACCTGGTAGCACAAATACCTGATTATGATGTTCTGATTGTTCGATCTGGCTCCAAAGTTGATCGGAATGTACTGGACGCAGCGCAAAAATTACAGATCATCGGTCGCGCCGGCACTGGCGTGGACAACATTGATATGGTGAGCGCTACGAAGCAGGGCGTATTGGTCATGAACACACCGTTTGGTAATACAATATCAGCAGCTGAGCTGACAGTGGGTCTAATTACGGCTGTCTCGCGCCTCGGACTTGGCGTTTCTAATCCATCCGTCCGCAAGTCCGAGATTCACGGCAAGACCTTGGGTATTGTCGGACTTGGTCGTATTGGCCGCGAAGTTGCTACGCGTTGCAATGCCTTTGGTATGAATGTTATTGGATACGACCCCATTTTATCGGATACGAGTGCTAAAGCATATGGTATCGAACCAGTCTCGTTAAATGAGCTGTTCTCCCGCAGTGACTATATTTCTCTTCATGTACCACTTAACGCCAATACGAAGCATTTGGTGAACGCACAGCGATTGACACTTTGTAAATCTGGCGTCAAGTTGATAAATGGAGCGCGTGCTGGTCTGATTGACCACGAAGCTTTGTTAGAAGCTATTGAGAGTAAGAAGATTGCTGGAGTAGCCTTTGATATTCTAGCGCCAAGTCCAGCATCAGATGTTTGGAAGAAGCTTGTGAGTCACGAAAATGTAATTGTGACACCTCACATTGGCGCACTCACGACGGACGCTCAGCAGAAAGTCGCGCGTGATTTGGCGTATAAGGTTAATGACGCGCTGGCTGGCAAGTCGTTCGGAGGTGTGCTTAATGCACCTAATATTGATTTCGGAAAGCGCGTAGAATTCATGCCGCTACTGTCACTGGCCGAAAAGCTTGGCAGCATGCAAGCACAACTTTTGGATGAAAACCGACTCAAGCGTGTGCTTGTTGTATCTGAGGGCTCCAAAGTTACGTCGTCGGAGCTTTCGGGACAACTAGTCAACGGAGTGCTAAAAGGATTGCTTTCGCACATGTTGGAAGAGGAAGTGACATTTACGAACGCAAAACACATTGCTGACATGATGGGTATCCAGACAGTAGAACACAAGCACGACGAGGCCGCAGGGAGCAGCTTTTCTGATCAACTAACAGTTATCTTTGAAAAGGAGAACGGCACATGTAAGAAGATTACAGGCACTGTATTCGGCAAGAATCAGCTTCGCTTTGTGTCGTTTGATGACCTTCCCATGGACGCGATTCCAAGTGGATCAATGCTGCTATTTAACAATACGGACGAGCCTGGCGTGCTGCACAAGGTTACGTCGGTATTGGCCAAACACGAGATCAACATTGGTTGCTTCGGCTTGGCACGTGAACAATTGGGTTCGGCTGCTGTCGGTGTACTTAACGTGGATGAAGCGATACCAGATGCTGTGATGGAGGAATTGGAAGCCTTAAGCATGTTGACAAATCTCCGCCGTGTAAACCTTTTGGAGCTGCGTACGGCTGTATCTAAAGGCATTTTGGGACAATTCCTTCAACCTAGTAGTAACATCACGGATGACATGAGTGGCGACGATGCAGATGACGTGGCGAAAGTGTCAATAGTGCGCCACCCAAAGCCGCGCGTCAAGCCGTCATCGCCAAATTTTGGCTCAGGACCTTGCAAGAAGCGTCCAGGATATTCCTTATCTTCGATCCCTGACATTGTATTGGGTCGTAGCCACCGCTCGAAATTGGGTAAGGGCTTGTTGCAGGAGGCGATTATACGTTCCAAAAGTATTTTAAAGCTTCCAGAGGACTATCACCTTGGTATCGTGCCAGCTTCGGATACTGGTGCTTTTGAGATGGCGATGTGGTCCATGCTTGGCGAACGTCCGGTAGACGTGTGCTACTGGGAGTCATTTGGTAAGCAGTGGTTTACAGATGTCACAAGGGAACTCAAAATCGACAATGTGAGGGAATTTGGCGCCCCATTCGGCCAGCTCCCAGACTTAAGTAAGGTAAACTGTGATCACGACGTACTGTTTACATGGAATGGTACTACCAGTGGCGTGCGAGTGCCTAACGGCGACTGGATTCCGAACGACCGCAAGGGCCTGATCTTCAATGACGCGACTTCGGCTGCGTTTGCCATGGAAATGCCATGGAACAAAATCGACGTCTGTACGTTCAGCTGGCAGAAGGTTCTTGGTGGTGAAGGCGGTCATGGTGTTATTATTTTAAGCCCCCGGGCTGTCGAACGGCTTGAGTCATTTGTACCGACGAATCGCCCGATCCCCAAAATATTTCGCATGACCGATGCCAGCACAGGGAAATTACTGAAAGAAATTTTTGAAGGTAGCACTATCAACACGCCTTCAATGCTGTGTGTAGAAGACTACCTCGATGCGCTGCGCTGGACAGATAGCGTTGGCGGCCAAGATGGTCTCATAGCGATTTCGCAGCAAAATCTTAAGGTTGTTGAGGACTTTGCAGTCGAAAATTCGCGATGGTTTAAGTTTCTTGCAGCTGACAAGGCAATCCGCTCGAATACGTCTGTGTGTATTCAAATAGACGGCTTTTCCAAAGATGAAGTAAAACAAATGCAGACGTTATTAGAGCGTGAGCAGGTGGCATACGACATTGGTTCTTACCGTGACGCACCTCCTGGTTTGCGTATCTGGTGTGGTGCTACAGTCGAGACAAAGGACATAAAAGCTTTGCTGCCATGGATTAAGTGGGCGTATCTCGAAGTCAAGAGCGGTCGGGACTCCATAAGCAAATAGATAGACAAATTAGTTGATTGATCATGTTGAGACGGGCGCGAAACATTCTAAGTTGTATGAGTTATCACTGCCGTGATCCAGTGGTACTGTCTTTATTCTTGACTGCACTTTGATATAAACTATAAGATTTGCCGTGCTTCAGATCACCAAGAAATGTCGTGGAGAACAGGTAGGTAGTTGTACATTGTAAGCACTCATGTTCTTGCGAATCTTGCGCTTGATTTGACATTTCTAACGACGTAGAGGAACAATGGAGACGACCTTATGGTGCCTCCCGCCAAATCGTTGCTGATACTCAAGAGGGAAGAGCCATTAATTACAATATCCATGCACAAAATTATCGGAGACCATATATGACGTCCGAAACGCAATTTAACGATCTGAGTACCAGCTACAGTCGAGTCCGAAACGTATCTCGTACCTCCCAGGTTGAGATGAATTGGCACGATGGACGCTACGAGATGGAGACGCTATGTAATCCAGAAGAAGAGACACAGGGAAAGAGGAGCGGGTTAAGTAAACCTTTTTTTGAGGCTCAGCATTTGAGTGACATAGCCTCACTATCGACAACTAATCATGATGGTGAGACTGAAAGAGAGAATTCTTGTCGAGTGACTTGGTGTAAGTTAACAAGGAAACGGTATGGATTGTGCTGGGCACATGGTGGAGGTACGATGTGTATTACTACTAAATATGCTACAGAGAAGAAAAGTAGAATCTCATTCTTAATGTTCTTAGTCCAAAAGTGCTGCCATCGCAACTGTTCGAAGATAGCAACAGACACAAGCGATTTCTGCTCCATCCACATTCTTCACCGCACACATTCGCGATAGTCTTAGGTAATGGTGTATTGTACATAGAATCAGATGGACTCAAAAATTTGTATTCAATTTAAACCACAGCCAGTCAGATTCTTTGTATAATCATGCGCGGAAACTGGCAACGTTTCCAGCAGCATTATGGTGAGAATAGACCTTTTGTACATCAACAAAACTCTCATCAGCGTCTTAATGAGCAATTAAGACCAACGTCAGCTTCGATACAAGTCCAGAAAGACGTTGTCGCTTTTATTGAAGCTTTTCGAGCCAATCAGTCAAGTCCATCAGCTCCACCTAATGCCTTGACACTTGATATTGTGGTGCGCGCCACCTGCAATCATTTTCGTATGTTGTATGCAGTTTTATCTCTTGATATGGGATTGTATTGATTCTTATTTGAATGGATAGATGTTAATGCGTTTGAAGAGCTTATGGGTTTCAGTGCATTGCAGCTGCCAGCATTAAAGCAATTGCACACTGTAAATCAACGCGTATGGACATTTGTTACATGTTATTTACATAGTCGACGCATCAATACACTATATGAATGTCATCAAGCATTTCTACAGCATGAAGGACTGCAGTCTTTCCATGAACTTAAGCTGGGAAACTCATTTCTGCATACGGAAGCCGTGCAACAACTCTATCATTCACCTAGTGTCATGTTTACTATCACAACTGGAGATGTCGTGACGTGTTTACGGCAATTTGAAAATCTACTAGGTCAAGATGTGTTTCGAGCATCTTCACACGTGGATTTGCACGAATTTTTGCACTATTTAGCGCAGCACTACCGACAACCGAGTTCTCAAACCATGGGCGTATTTATTGATCCGTATGGATTTGGTGCTTATGTGGGCTTGTTGCGTCGTGTGGCCAATCATGAGATGAAAGAACTTAAGACCGTGGAACAGCAATTTCAGCGTGAAGTTGCAGAGAAAATGTTTCGCTTGACAAAAGAAAAGTTTAGTGATGAAAATCGAAAGCAAGCATTAAATGAGCTGTTGCAACGAGTTAATTCACGAACCGAGACGGAGAGAAGCATCATACAGACCAATGGAAATATGAAAAGCAGCTTGCAATCGCTATCATTGGATCTGCTTCAGCGCGTCACTGATGTAGACGTGTATTTGGATAACGTTTTGCGGCGAAAAGCTGCTGCAAATGCAAAGACACCGCAGCAATATTCTAAACCAATTTCTTCGCAAGCAATTGCTGAAACGGACTCGAAGCTTCGCAATCAGTTGACACGATTTCTAGTCTCGTCGCAGAAAAGCAGACATCATTCTAGGCTCAAAGTCGTGACGTGGGTGATTTGCAGTATCATTGCTAAAACGTGCGCTCTGCTCTCTAGTGATGACAAACTACCTGCTGATGACGAAGAAAGTCTTAAAAAAGTAATGGATGAAAGCGACAAAGAAGAATGCAATTGTTGCTGTGTGAATGAGAGTTTGTGTACTTGTTCGTGCACTTGTAAGTGTCATGTCGAATCAAGTGATGAGGAAGATGAGGTAGAAAGTGACAATGTAACAAAAGGAGAGAAGGGCGTGACAGTATCAAGTGAAGTGTTCCCAGTCTCGCCCGCGGATCCATTTGCCACGAGGCATGCAAAGCTTAACCAATCTGCAATTGTAACACTTGAAGACGTGAAGGCTGAAATCACAAGCTTCCTAAACGCTAATATGCCTAAAGATCAGCCTCAAACAACGAAGGATGTGCTTTTGGTTCTTTCGTCTCTTGAAGAGAATCTGATTAATAAATTCACGTCAAAGTCAAAAGACGTTTCTTGGGCTGGACGGCGGTCTGTGCTTGAGCTACTTCCCGAGATCATGGATAATGGCCTCAACGATGACATCGGCGCTGCCAAGTGTCTTTCAAACCTCTTTATGTCCATTCAGGTGAATAATGATCGCGCAGCAACGATAAATACTACAAACAAGAAGTTAAAGGAAGGATTACTGCCATTTATTCGCGATTGTCGTGCTACCATTGCTTCATCTTCTTCGCTGAGCACACTTTCTAGTGAAGAGCAACAACAGTGGATAGCACGTCGCCTTTCAGTCGAGCTCGGAGGTGCTCATATTCTTGACAGCTTGTTTCCAAGTGCTGAAGAGATTCTCAAGTTAATGAATGAGGATACCAGTTCTGACGATAGTTCTATTGTTAAGTATTCTGGCAGCTTGGACCTCCGTTATGATGACAATTCCAGCTGCAAGAATTCAACAGGTGAGTTGATAGAGCAAGCACTTGTGGAGCTGCGTAACTGCCCGTTCTTAGTGAATGTAGCTTTATATTTGAATTGGCAAGAGCGTTATGCCTCGCCATGTGGGCCATTGCTCTCGTTTATTCGTTTGCATGAAATGATGTTACTTGATCATGCACCGTCAAACAATTTTTTATTAGTGTGTTGTATAAACGGAGCAATTGTGCGAGTTAATGAATCGTCAACGCCGTCCGATCTAGAGCTACTGCTTCGTCGGGCAGAGCAAAAGAATAAGTATGTGACTGCCAGCCAAGTCGCACTTCACTTAGTGTCGATGGTCGTGACGAGCAAAGGTCAAGCAAATTTTCCACAACAGCTCGTTCAAGCACATTTACGTGCCTACCTCATTAATTTGGAAGAAAATGATCTTAAGCGTTTTCTGGTGGAAGTCTTGATGGAAACACCAAATGATTTTGCGGATTTTATACTGTCGTTGCTCCTTGGAGCCGTTGGTCACGATGCTGGGTCCGAATTTGTCGACCAAGTATGGAAGGCTTGCAAAACTGATGCAGAATGTAAGACACTTATGCTTATATCCAAGCGAAGCTCATCACCATTGTGGACATACGAAGCAAATAAGTGGTGCACTAGCAGTGCCAATATGGCAGACACTAGCAGTGCCAATATGGCAGACACTAGCAATGCAAGTGAGACTTGTGTCACCTCTTTTCATTGTGGAAAAGAACCGTTCGAAAAGAAGTTCGATCCGTCATTTGATGCAGCTAATATCAGTGTTGATGGCAAAAGCAAGGTCGCTAGTCTTATAAACACGGAAGAAATAAGCTTTTCACCCAAAACAGCCGCTAAAGAAGTGGATGATGAATCATGGAACGATGCCCATATAACTTCTTGTCAATCGTTTGTAGAGGACATCCGCAAAAAGCAGTTTGGCGTTGGATTACAGATTCAGGATGAAGCTACCACGTCTGTGCTGCTGATTCAACAGCAGCGTCTAGAAAGAGCACTTAAGCGGCTCAGCGACGAGCTGTACAGTGAGAGTACGCACTTTGTTCTTGAACTATTGCAAAATGCTGATGATAACAAGTATGACGAAGGGGTAACTCCGCGTGGCGAATTTACCCTGACGGCTGACAAGAAAATTGTCTTTTACAACAACGAACAGGGTTTCTCTTCTGCCAATATTCAAGCGATTTGTGACGTTGGTGCATCAACAAAGGCAGCAGAGAATGAAGAGGCGAGTATTGGCAAAAAAGGGATTGGTTTTAAAAGTGTGTTCAAGGTGTCAGACCACCCACAAGTTCATTCGAATGGATTTCACATTTGCTTTCACGCTAAGAGCTCCATGCATGGTAATGGTATGGGATACATATTGCCGTATTGGCTGGACGATACGACTCAATGGCAGCAGATCCGCGGCACGACATTTGTGCTGCCATTGAATGAGACATCAGTGCAGAGGATGGACGATATTTCTCAGTCCCTTTTAGCGTTTGAACCGTCTGTTTTGCTCTTTCTTCGACGTATTCAAGAGCTTCGTGTTCGTGTTCTAGCACAGGATTATTCACTTCACTTTCTTAAAAAGGAGAAGACGCTTTCCTCAAACTCAAGACTTGTTCAGTTGTACTGCCAAGAAAAAAAGAGCGAGAACATTGCGAAAGTCACACAGCAGAACTGGTTAGTAATCAAGGAAATGCTCGAGCTGCCTCAAATATTCCACCGTAAGCATTTTACGGAGATTGCTGTTGCGATTCCAATAGCTCTCAAAGAAGACTCCAATAAGTTGGAAGATAGACCCCCACTTCAACAGGTGTTTTGCTATTTACCGCTACGATCCTATGGCTTTCGCTTTATTTTGCAAGGAGACTTTGAGATTCCAAGCTCTCGAGAAGCAATTACAAACGGAAGTGAGTGGAATGAGTGGCTGGTATCCAAATTTCCAGAACTTGTGCGTGATGCTGTGTTTTCTTATGTGTCAATGCTGCAAACAAGTGAATTGATTGCTGGAATCTCACACATGTTGTCGTTGCTACCACTTGAAAATGAAGTACAAGCCCCGTTTCGAAGTATCGTTCAAGAGATCATGCGTCTGCTACGTCAAGTCAAGTGGCTACCTTCCGCTACACCTTCATCTTCGACTATATTTGAAATGCCAGCAGAGCTGATCGACTGCTTTCACCTGATGGGAAATGATGCTAGCGAAATCAAGAATGGGTTGTTGGAGATGCTAAGCGAAGACGTGCTTGTGTCAACGTGTTGCAAGCGACTCTTGCATCCTGATGTGTCTTCAGCTATGTCTGGATCCATGAAGAGCCAGCTACGTATCGAACAGCTTAATGCTTCACACATGTTGCGAATCCTGTCACTGTCAGCACAAAAGAATGATATCGACTGGACGGTGGATGTATTGACAGTTCTTGCGAAATTATGGCGAAAGGACCGGCTTTCAGGCTTACTTCGGCAGGAATTACGTTTGATCAAGTGTTTTCCATTGCAGCACAAAGAGCGTACAGACGGCAATTTCAAGTGGGTTTCTTTGGCTGATGCTCACGACTCGCTTTTTTTATCGAGTTTTCAGGCTGACGACAAAGTCTCCACTCGTAAACAATTTTACGCTTTTTTTAATGACCTTCGTATCCTAGACGACCATTTTACGAAAGCTGTGAGCAAAAACTCAAAGCTCCGTGCTTTCTTGTTGAATGATGTTGGTCTCCACGTGATGGAAGATCACGATATGATTCGTCATCATATCTTACCGACAATGGCAGTGCTTTGTAATTCTACTGAATGTACTGACAAGAAAGAAGTGGAAGCTAGAGGTGTGCTTGAATTCGGACAATTCCTTGCCTCTCATCTGATGGGATGCAGAAATTGCTCAATGCATGAAAATGTGAAACTTCACATGGTCGTCGCAACGACTTGTGGTCGCCTCATTCCAGCCGGTAGTCTGAATTTGTTCGCCATCTTACCATCTACTTCAAGAGATATGGCGAAACTTGTTGAATGGATCAAGTTAAAAGTAAAGACGTGTGACGAAGCTGAGGATGCTATTTCAATCGTGTCGGACAGCTACTATTTTGACTCTGACACTGAAACACCATTCAAGGATTTGGACGAGCAGTGGCAGTATTTGTTAACAAAAATTTGTGATGTGCCGATGCTGCTAGATATTGTTAATCTGAAGTCAGATGCACGTTTACAAACTGGAACAAAACAGTTACTGAAGTGGATTGAAGCCGAAGAAGACAACGATGTTAAGCGTAGCATGTCAATGCTTTTAGCTCAGCACATGGAGAAACAGTGGGAACATCGAAAATACGGCGACAGTGAATCTGACTCTGAGTCTTTAGAAAATGATGATACGGGTCTTTCCTTTTGGCAGCATTATCGCTGGGTGGAAGGATCTGATGCGCACTTTCATCGCCCAAACGAACTTTGGTTGACAACAGACGAAGTCACTCGCTTATTTACACCTTCTATGGTTACGTTTAGCTCAATGGTGTGGAAGAGTGACGAGTTTGCTAAGCAAGTACTAGGCATGAAATCAACTGCAACGGTCTCTGATGTGCTTTCCGTCATCTCGACTCTTGCGGTGAATCCGACTGCGATGTCATTGCTGAATCTTGATCAAATGATTCAAATGTACTCGTACTTGTGGGAAAAAAGTCAACGATCTGATGAAACAAAGAGAGAAATTCTGTCAGCATTTACAGAAAAAGCCATGATTTTTTCTCCTGCCAAAATGTCTACGGAGAGTAATGAATCACAATTTGTTGGAACGAACTATGTTGTGTGGACGTCATCGTTGCAGGAGAGAGAACTGGTTGTTCTAGAGACGCTATATCCAAAATTCCTACGTGACTTCTTTACGAAAATTTGTGGGGTTCAGCGCAAGCCATCCGTCTCCTTCCTGTGCAAAATGCTCTCCGAGCAGAAATCAAACATGTGCGGCAAGAATCTATGCGATGTCAAAGTTTGGAAGAAAAAGATGCTACCGCTTTTGTGCGCACTTTCAAAGAAGGTAGAGAAGAATTCACTATCGACTAGAGAGATGAAAGAGATACAGAAAACACTCAAGTCGATTCCCTGGTTGCCAGTGCGAAGCATTAGCGAAAGCAGCAGTGAGTTTGTGTATTGCAGCTCAAAAGATGAGCCCGTTCAAGCAATAACAAAGACCGAGCGTAAGCTATTGAAGTTGGTGATATTTCTTACAAAGGAGAAAAGTGCAGACAATATGAAAAAGCGAAAGAATGAAGAGATCAAGTTAATTCAGCCGGACTGTTTTGAAGAGGATACAGATTTAAACGCAATATTACGTCTCGCGAAAGTTTCCACACTGTCTCTTCATCTGAAGTCCCATGGCAGCACGTGGTGCAAGATTTTTGCTCATTTGGCAAGTACTCAGCAAGGACAAAAGAAGAGCAAGAAAAAACTCAAGAAGCTGGGTCAGCTGTTAGTCAAAGCTTGGGCAAATATATTTTCATCAAGTGACGAGCAAGAGAAAGCTGATTTTCTCGTGACAGTGCAACATTTAAAGCTTTTTCCAGTGATTGATAAAAGGCTACAGTGGACATCAGCTGCAAGCATGTATATTAACGATCAAACGGAGTTATCAAAGGAGGACTTGCTAAAGGCGGGTCAAGCTGAACAACTTCAAGTGCTTGGACTGTTCCCATGGAATTACTTTTTAGATGGCTTGGCAATTGAAGAGATTAGTAACGACGCTAACGTGGTTCGGACGTTCTTAGTTGAATGCTGTGGGATGAAGTCACTCAAAGCGCATTTGCAGTACGAAGTCAGTGTGCTGAGCACGCAACATCCTGCGAGCGACGCATTTCACAAGAAAATTCACACTGCCTTTGCCTTAGCTCAGCGTTGTTTGTACCACTGGCATCGGACTTTGTATGACAAGTTGCCGCACAACTCATTCGCAAAGTTAGCGTTAAGGTTTCAGTGCATTCTAGTGGACGGTCACGACGGATTTCAGGTCGTCTATCGTGTTGGCAATTCTTTTAGTCTCCGTCGTGGTGTGGACAGTCTATCTCGTTGTTTTTTCGATGTACCAAACAACGTTTTGTACCTGCAATCCATCACGGGAGAAGAAGAAGCAAGTGCGCTCTCTATGGTACTTGTGGAGTTGTCTCAAAGGCTCTTTGGCGCACATGTAGCTACGAATGTCGCGAATTTTTTGTACCTTAGTTTACTTCAGCCGAATGCGGGTGTCAGAGAGAATTGGCTGATCAAAACTCAACGTTTGCCTCCACTACCTTCCAGTGAAGCTGACAAGCTTTGGGTGCAACAAGTGAGCGACAGCTTGTCGTCAGATGAGTGTGCTTCTTACAAGCGCACTTTCAATGACATGGAAGATGGTGAGCTTTCTGCCACGACAGTTTTTTCGAATAAATTACATCATCACATCGAAGTGAACGATCGAGAATTTAAGAGCCCATACCAACCTTTAACATCGTTTACCAACGGCTTTGAGCAAGTGTATGATAGGCAAACCCCAAGATCACTATGTCTATCAAATTCCGGTAATGCAGAGCCAACTGGAGCTGCTTACCATTTACCGCTTCCAGTATCACCAACAAACACAGGATTGCAGTCCCTGTCGTTGTCGAACACGATGACTAAAGAGGAGCGAGAAGCAATTGGTCGTTGGGGCGAAGAATATGTATATAATCAGCTTAAGCGCCAGTATGCTGAAAGCAATACGACTGTTGAATGGCTTAATGAAAAAGAAGAGTCCGGTCTTCCATACGATCTCACGCTTTCATCGAAAAGTAAAGTAGAAGAATACATTGAGGTCAAGTCGACACGTACTATGGAGAAGGGTGTATTTGAAATCAGTATGAACGAATTAGACCAGGCAGCAATTTACGGCTCCTCATACTGTATTTACCGTGTGTTTAATGCTGGGAACTCTGCCTTGTGCCGTGTAATCCGGCTTAAGAATCCTGTTTCATTAGTGCGTCAACGCAAGATTCAACTTGCACTTGTCATGCAATAAGTCATTAATAGAGTGTATCGAACAAGCACCGTTTTAAAAAGCTTTTTTTTCTCATTTCACTCCATGGTATCCATCCCGTTCGCAATTTCACCAAGTGTTCGATCTTCGCTCTGCTGGGTGTGCATAGCAACTTTTGAGCGCCGGTCTTTGTCCTTCTGCAAACGCGACTGAAATTTTGCGCTCGTCACAAGCTCAACATCTATGTAGCGCAAATGGGATGCGACCAACACAAGCTTTTCCATCTCCTCCTGTAGCCTCAATGTTACTTCACCGTGAAACTCATCGTGATTATCCTGACAGTCTTCTTTTTCAAGCACAAAGCGCACCATGGCTTTTTGTTGATCGATAATAGCGTCCATCCGACCAGTGGAAATTAAACTTAAGAGCATCTTCTCGGCTGCCACTGCATTGCTATTCACCATACCAGCTGTTGTCGCAATCTGCGTGAGTTCAATAGTAGCATACGTACGTTTCAATTGAAGCACTTTTCGTTGTTTGAACGCGTGCACGACTTGCTTGACAAGACCAAAGTTTCTTTCTTGTGTAAACAGCTCAATGTTCTTTGCTACAACTTCCTCTACCGCAGCAAATTCTTTGTCATTCACAAATGCATTCACAAGGTCATTGTACGCCGCACAGTGACTCTCTACGTGACGTACGACCACAAACGGTGTATACTTGGGCAAACTCACTCTCTCTCCTTTCACAATGAGCGTCACTAATGCCATTAACTTGTATGCTTCAATAACAAATGCACTAAGTGATATTGCTGGTGCTGTGACAACAAGTTGGAAAAAATCTAGTGAATCTTGGTACCGCTTTTCACCAAGATAGAGCAATCCTCCATAGTACGCGTAACCTAAAAAGTCGACGCATGTGACAAGATGCGACTGCGAATGGACCTCAATCAATGTTCTGTTACCACAAAACACATCATGAAAATTGCTATCATCTGCATTTTTAGTATAAAATATTCAACGTACTGGTCTAAAATTTCTATCGCTGCAAAGTAACACTTGGAATGGAGACATAAATACAGATATTGTGCGTGCAATGGCGTCAATACCGCCTTTTCCTGCTCATGAAAGCGCTGTAGAAAGCTTCGAAGTGGAAATATTATTTTTAGACTCTGCTGAAGTCCAACAGCTTGTCGTGCATACTGGTCGCAAAGCACACTCAGTCTCTTAAGCTCTTTAGCAGCCACACTCATAGGAATCTTATGTAGTAGTTGTGCCATTTGTCGTAAAAACTTCGTTTGAATCTCATTCATATCCTCTTCTTGACGTGCATGTTCTAATTTTGAAGCTTTGGCGGATAGCAACATCAAAAAGCTTAGCGACAGACCAGCGAGCGGTTCGTGGTCGAGCACTTGGTCCAATTGGGCAAGAGATGAAGCGCGTACTGCTGCTGTAAGCTCTTCACCATTTAATGCTTGAGCCAGAATCATATCAAGTGTCTTGCTAGTCTTTCCATTATCATCTTTACTCTCCTGGGACACTAATAGCGACAAGATCGGCTGTAAAGGACCCCACTCCATCCTTAATCTTATGATTCCTGTGAATAATTTCCATATGGTGTTCTCTTTCATGTGGCTCAGAATCTCGTATAAGTACGTTACTAGTCAGCACAACTAGCCGGTTATATGGTGGCTCCAGCGGTCCGCGAGTTAGTGGATCAGCCGCTAAAAGAGCTAAGTGAGCTGTATGAGAACTCACTTAAGGCTATGCTAGTGTGTGGCTTAGAGTTTTATTTGTCAGCATCGCTCGTTGCGTCGTTCTTTCAATGTCCTGATGAGAGACAGGATGAGCAGGAGCTACAGACACTCTATACTTTGGCCTGGGTACCCATGATGTTGGCTTTCATCCTTGTATACGGACCAAAGATCTCGACGTCAATATTTCCATCACCAGAGCACTTTGAACGGAATATGCTGCGCTGCAAAATCTTTACGTGGATCTACCATTTTGTTTTTCTCATCTGGGATCCCGATATGGTTATTAAGACAGGTCCATCACTTGGAGTTTCGATTATCTTCTGTGTGACTGATCTTTGTCGCTTTGTCATGGATATGAAACACTTGACTGAAGGTGAGTACGATGAGAATGGTAACTCATTCATTTTTCATGATGGAGTGCCTCATCAAGATAATGACGAGCAAAAAGCTGAACAGCAAACACAGAGAATCCAGCAGCAATACGAGTCTCGAGAATCTCTACAGACATCTCAGCAGCACCAATCATGGCCAAAGAATAACTACATGGTTCATGTGATTGCTTCAGCATCAAAGGAGACATCACAGCGAAGCATACATAAATACTCTTTGCAGAGTCCAGTAGAATCGTCACAACAAGAACAGGAACCTCTTACACCTTTGTTTGGTGCTGGAATGTCGAAGAAGCGAAGCCAGGATTTGGCACTGGATCAAACTCCGTTATCAATAAAAAGCCAATATGTTGCAGTGCTGGATCCTGACGCTGATAAAAAAACAGCTGAGATGATTGCCAAGAAATCGTTCACATATGAGTTATAAAAGGAATGTCATGTTTGTTTTGTGCGTATATCTTTCACGAGACTGCTCATCTACATTGCTCAAGTCATCAATGTCATTGTTTATAGTTTACTACTCGTAGTAGATTCAGTCAGATAGTATGATTGAATCAAGTTCGTTACTTCAGTCCAGATCTATAAAATGTGATTCTAATCATCATTTGTGCTATGATAGAATTCAGGAATTGCTGAATGATGAGTTGTCGTAGCAGATTATACCTGCCTTTGTGAAAAATCTTTAAGTAATGCTCACAAAGCAGTATAATGAAATTCTCGTTTAGAAATTTCGCTTTATTATCTTTCTTCCGTCTGAAGGCTCACCATGCTACAAGCTTTGCAAACTACAAATGGCACTCAAGTTGCCAACTCCAGAATTTCTATCAGCTCGATCACGTCCAAAAAAGTTACAACTGGTTACTGCTAAACACGCCAGAGCAGTTTGTATACATATATACATGTATAATTAGGATAAATGTCACTATTGTGAATGGAGAGCGTATGTGTATTTAAGCATTGATTTACAATGGAGCTGCAATATCTCGTGCACTTTAATCGCACGCTGTGCGTTCGTCTTACCTCAAGCGCAGCAACAGTATCGAGAATCACATCCATCATCCAGCAGCAAGAATGTGTTCCATCTTCTCTTCTCGATCTTTACGTGAATGGCCGCAAATTGAATTTATCGAGCCAAATTCCATCGTTTCCAACTATCATTCGTGCTCGACTACGCGGTGGTCTTCGTGGTGGCAAAGGCGGATTTGGCGCTATGCTTCGTATTATGGGAAAAGCTTCAGGCTCTAGAGCTACAACTGATTTTGGTGCTTGTCGAGATCTGCATGGTCGCCGTTTGCGCCATGTGAACCAAGAAGTAGCGATGCACAAATGGCATCAAGACGCAGAATCTCGTAATAAGCGAAAAGCTGCCGATGAAGATCGAGAAATAATAGAAGAAGAAACACCAAGCGGTATTCCCGGATGGTACCTGGCGACGCCGTCATGGGCAGAAGGTATCAAGAAATCATACATGAAAACACGACGTAATACGATTTTGTGTAAGAGCTGGTTAAAAGCTAGAGAAGGTGGACGAAGTCCTCCAATAGGAGCACCACGATGGTGGGGGTGTCCACGTGGTCGGGATTGCACATTTGCTCATGGTGAGGAGGAGCTTCGGGGTAAAGCATTAACCGAATTGAAGCGCGTGAAGAGAGATGAAGCTCAGAGAGTTAAGCAACAACAATTACAAGAGTATGTTGATTTTGAACAGGAATTGCCAGATGATGTGCTTGATGCAATACGGAATGGATTACGGCGTAAGAAGAAGGCTGATGTGACAATTGAGCAGCTGCAACTAGATGCACGTATATTGCCGCCTGATGCAACGACGTACGCTCGTGTACGCTCGGTAAATCCCTTACCAGTTGTTGAAAAGTGGTTGCAATCAGTTGAAGAGGAGATCGCGATCGCAAGTGTGGCGACAACATTTAAGCACGGATTGTGTGAATTACGTGGTCGTGGCAACTTTGTTACAGCTTCATCACGTCATTGTTGCGCTTTGACGAAGGGAAAATGGTATTATGAAGTACGTCTCGTAACAGCTGGTATCGTACAAATAGGTTGGGCAGATTCGACATTTGTGGCAAGCTCAGCAACGGGTGATGGTGTGGGGGACCACGATCGGTCTTGGGCGTATGATGGAGCTCGTCAAGTGAAATGGAACGGTGGAAAGAACGAACCATACGCTACAGATGAAGTATGGAGTAGAAATGATGTTATTGGCTGCTTGCTGGACCTTGATGAAGGCACAGTCTCGTTTTCTCGAAATGGTTTAGATCTTGGTGTAGCTTATCGCAATGTTAAACCATTAGCAAGTGATCAAGGATTCTATCCGGCAATAAGTGTCGAGCAGACAGAGATTTTGCTCGTGAATATTGGTTCTCAACCATTCTTACATCAGGCGTCACACTTTAAACCCGTCATCGACGCGCTGGAACCAGTTCGGCTTGCAGATGAAGCAGTTGATACGAGTTTTGTTAAGGATCCTGGTAATTGCGCTGGTATCGGCGAAACGGATCACTCAGCCACAGTTTCTACGGAGAATCAACACGAAGAGAGCTTTATGGGGAAAAACGAAACTAAAATATCTGAGAAAGAGGTAAACTTCACTCATCCTCCTATCGATCTAATGGAATTTGAGACAATCGAGTCTTTTGAGGCACTGGGCTTAGAAAGATTGAAAGTCGAGCTGAGTCGACGTGGATTGAAATGCGGGTAAATTGTGAAATAACGCATTCTACTTTGAAATTGCTAATCTTACTTTTCGTTTGTGTATATAGTGGCAATTTGACGGAGCGTGCGGCTCGTCTTTTTAGCGTTCGAGGAAAAGCTTGGGATGACATTGATGCGAAAATGAAAGTAAAGAAAAATATATGACTTTCGATCTTACTGTAAATACAGATAAAATGTAGCTAATGCATTTTAGCAGGGATTGATGAAAATAAGACAGCTTGAAGTATCAAATAGTAACCCTATATGCGTGATAAAGATATAGACAGTCCTATGTTTATGGCATAACGAATCTCACAATCATTTCATACCTTAAAAGCAAATTTGGCTCAAAGAACACACTTGAAAATTCTTCACAAAGATAACGACAGGAATGAGTCTCTCTAAAAGTAACAGTGAGAACTCTCTTCCTAACGTAGATGAGTTCAATTCCTGCGAGTTTCGGGATTCAGCACTCACTGTCTTTGTCATCGGTGCATCGGGCGACTTGGCGAAAAAGAAAACCTATCCGTCGCTCTTTGCGCTTTACATCATGGGATACTTACCTGAACATGTGGTTATTGTCGGTTACGCTCGTAGTAGCAAGAGTGATGAGGACTTTCGTGCGCAGATTGCACCGTATATTAAGCCAAAGACACCCGAGACTGAAGCTCGTAAAGATGCTTTCCTTAATAAATGCATCTATCGTAGCGGTAATTATGACTCGGCTGACGATGTAGGTACGGTCAGTAAGGAGATGGAAGCGATGGAAGAAGCTCATGGCTCAGCCATGGCCAACCGTCTCTTTTACTTTGCCATTCCCCCCACAGTTTTTGTACCGATTGGCACAAGTATCAAAAAGGCGGGACTAACTACACGTGGTTGGAATCGACTTATTATTGAAAAGCCTTTTGGCCGCGACCTTGATTCATTTGATGAGCTTTCCAAGGATATGGGTGCACTTTACAATGAAGATGAAATCTATCGTATCGACCATTATCTTGGCAAGGAAATGGTGCAGAATTTACTCGTACTACGCTTTGGAAATGCGATATTTGAGCCTGTTTGGAATCGCAATTATATTTCAAGCGTGAGCATCACGTTTAAAGAGGTCATTGGGACACAAGGTCGTGGCGGCTATTTTGATTCTTTTGGAATTATTCGCGATGTGATGCAGAATCATCTCTTGCAAGTGCTTACGCTTATAGCTATTGAGCCACCCGTGCTTGCTGCTGGCGAAAATTATTCGAATTATATTCGCGACGAGAAAGTTAAAGTGCTTAATTGTATTGAACCCATTAAGCTCGAAAACACGGTTTTGGGTCAATATCAAGGTGACAAGGAACGCAATGAACCGGGTTACCTTGAAGACCCTACCGTTCCTAAGGACTCAGTAACTCCTACGTTTGCCACTGCCATCATGTACGTAAACAACCAGCGATGGGCTGGCGTACCATTCATCATGAAAGCTGGCAAAGCTCTGAACGAGCGCAAGGTTGAGATCCGTGTGCAGTTTTGCCGGCCTCCTGGAGTCGAGCACATGTTTCCAGGTATTCAGATCCCAGTCCAGGAGCTGGTACTTCGTCTACAGCCAGAAGAAGCCGTGTATCTCAAGATTAATGTCAAAAGTCCCGGTTTGCAAACCCAAGCCATCTCGAGTGAACTAGATCTGTCCTACTCTGAGCGTTACGAAGGCACTGAATTACCCGACGCCTATACTCGTTTAATGCTGGATGTGCTACGTGGCAAACAAGCTGCTTTTGTACGTGATGACGAGCTACGCGCCGCTTGGAAGATATTCACACCGCTGTTGAAGGAGATTGAGGATCAAAGAGTGAAGCCATTGCCGTATGCGTTTGGCTCGCGTGGTCCTACAGAAAGCGACGAGTTGATTAACAGAGTTGGCTTTCACTACCACGATGGTACGTACCAATGGCAGCCACGTGTACGTAACAACTAGCGCGCTGTAGATTCAATCTCAGTTGAAGACGTTTGGTTACTTTCCTAGTAAGCTTAAATGCAAAAAAGGTTATGCAAAGTAATATCAATTATGACAGGGAATTGGTAGAAATTTCATTATTTTGAAACTAAAGCTTAGATGGCTCAAAGACAACAGCCAAATGAATGTCGAGGGCCTCATTTTACTGAGCATCTCATGCTACTACATCCGCATATATATCATCAACCATCCACTTGTGACAATCTATCAGACTACAATGTGACTGAAGTTCCATCAATGGATGAAGAAACATCACAGGAGTCTGAAGATGGATATAAAAAAGAAATGACTTGTAATGACGACGTACCAACAACTGAGACGAGTGAGTTTATTGAGATCGAATCGAAGGAACAAAAGGAGTCAAATCATACATCTCCTGTGACGTTAAGCTCTTTAAATGAAGAGACTACGGACATACTACAGCAGCTACATTATAACAAGATGGAGTGTGTGATTGAAAGGAAGGAAACACCAACGCTTATATCTGATGAACGATACAGTAAACGCACACAACGTACAGTCAATGCCATCAACATGCCGCAAAGATTAATATCCAGTCGTAAATCTCGCAGACAGCGAACTCAAAATTTGGACACGTGTCGTGGTGTTTGCCCTACGATGGCGATGACTGCATCTACATGCTTAAAGGAAGAAAAGGTGAATAAAGGAAGGAAACGTGCACTGACAACGAAATGTAGCGACATAAAAACGTATGAGTGTAAATTGTCGTGTGTACAAGAGAAGAAAAAGATGCCGTCAAAACGACAAAGTCGTAAGGCGCGTCGCTCTGGTGAACCTTTTTACTCATTTGAGATCCAGACAAAATTTGTTTCAAAGCTTATTGCCGAGCTTTATCAAGAACAAGAGAAAGATGATCGAGACATATACAGCATAACGAAAGAAACGGTTCTTACTGAGACGAAAGCGTGCGAACGATCTCAGGAAGTTCGAGAGCTGAGTCTTGAAGACTTTCGACGGTTGATGACGTACGGTGAAGTGTCAGTTGAGTCAGTAGCTTCTACAATCCTCCCTTTACTAAATCTTGACGTTAAGGATGTGTTCTTCGATCTTGGTTGTGGCACGGGAAAGATTCTTGTGCAAGCTGCGCTCCAAACTCCGTGTAAACGAACGATTGGCATTGAACTAATGCAGAATCGTGTTTTAGGAGGACACAAGGCGTTAACTCGTTTGAAAGATCGAGACTTTCCCATCTTGCAAAACAAACAAGTCGAGATTTATCAAGGTGATATCTTTGTGCCTCCAGAAGAAGCTCGTTTGATGGACGCGACTGTGGTTTTCGTGAACAATGTCATGTTTGGCCCACAACTCATGCTGAAGGTTATGCAGCTTTTAAAAGCTATGCCTAAGTTGCGATGTGTCATGACGCTTCGGAAGATTTGTGAGCGTCATGGTCATGAGAAGTGTTCGCGTGCTGGAAATTATTGTGTTGAGTACGTCCAGCCACCGATTGAACAAAAGATTGATGTGTCTTGGGCTGATAAAGCGTCCATCTACTTTTACGAAAGCGTCGACTACAAATTGAGACAGTTGACACAAGAGCTCGCAAATGGTGCTCACCAAGTTGTTGACTGGTACAATAAAGGGAATGAGTGAGATATTCGATATTAGATGATGAGATTCTTTCACATCTCGTTTGTCAAGCCATTTTAAAAATCAAAGTTCTGAAACGGAGTTATCCAAAGAGTTGTAAGTGCATTGTATTTTGTACTTGTGAGGAACTTGTATTGATAACGGTATCAAACCATTTCCGATTAAATGAGAGTAGATCCCATGTACTGATGTTTAGCGCTTTGTTCGAAAAAGATTGCTTCGTAAAAGCTTCGAAATGTCTCAATCTCACCGACCTCTTGCGAGTACTTTGCAGCGTAACTATCTGGTCCTGAAGACAGCAAAAGTTTATTCATTTCAGCTTGAAGACACGGGATAAGCTTTGCAAGTGGAGGTGCCGGTTTCTCTGGCTTCGCATCATGATTTTCAACGTCTTGAGGCTCTGAGTTTCTCGGGCCATAAACAACATCATCAAGGTCTTGAAATGCATTTCCGCATAAGAAGCCTAAGCTGTGCTGTAATGCAGGCAAGAAGAGATTGCTCTCCAATAGGTCCCACAAGTCGTTCAAAAGACTAATTAAATTTTCATCCTGACCTTGTAGTTTCTCTGGATACACTAAAAACCCTCGCCATTTGCGTAATTCAGCCGAGTCTTCGTGCTTTTCAGCTGCAGCTACGGCGACAGTCGATGGCAATATATCCAGAAACAACGTCTGAAGTACTTCATTCAGCTCATTCGTTGTAACTGCAGCCTTTTGACTGACTTTCCACGCTTGTAATTCTTTGTTTTCCTTCACAATCGTTTCAACATGATTTTTGATTCTTTCTAGCGCTTCATCTAGGAAATACTCGAGTCCAGAGGTCAGAAAAGCATGATGAGCTTGCTCTTCAGCTTCTTCTCTCTGTTTCTGTCTCTCAGAAACTTCCATCTTCAAGTTCTTTTCAAACATTCGTTTACCAATAATTGAAACTTGTGCAAATACAAGCATATGCCATAATCCAAACGCTATAAGTGACGTCATGTAACGCGTAAATGCCAACAGCTTCGCGTCCTCCCAAAGCGCATTGCGTCTTTTCTTCTGTGTTTTATCCAACATCTTGAGCTCCTGTACAACACTCTCGAGATCTAATAATTGATATAGTCGTGACTTTAGTCGTGGCAAGAACCGCTTCACCATTGCACGACTTTCATCTACCGTAGAATTTAACGCCAATTGCAGTCGTTGATGCTCCGCCATTTGCATTTGAATCTGTTGATTAAAGCGCTCAGCCTCGCTTTGAATACGTTTATAAGCATAAAAAGCAGTACCAGCACATGCTGTACCAATAGTTGTAGCAATAAGAAGCTTCTTGTGCCGATGGATAAAGCCGCACGTTGCGTGCTTGGCATGTTGGAACGCCGACCACATTACGTTTTAGTCTGAGATTTATATGACAATTGTGACAAGCAATTATATAAAGATATCTATAATTTTAAGAAAAATGACCGATCGATTCGATACGCTCTTGGCGCAGATAGCACAACAACATGGCGGCGTGGAACCACTTCTGGATACATTCTTTGGTTTCTTACATCGTAAGACTGATTTTTATGTCGTTTCAAATGACCCAAGTTCGCACAGAATGGGATTCTTGCCTGGTCAAGCACAACAGAAGGTGCTTTCGGCATTTCAAAAATATCCGATGAAAAGACTACCAGATAAAGCTCGAACTCGTGTTCAAGACAATGTATCATCAAAGAAGAATGATAGTACATCAAAGTGTAGTCATATTGCTGTGAATGAGGAGATCCAACCACAATTAACAGAAGATGGAAAGCAAGGTAGAGTCGTAAAATTATGTCTACTTTTGATTGATTTGAAACTAAATTTGATAATGCAGTTCCAGTGGGTAATGGAGGTCGATCAAAGAATTACGTCTGGACACAGACATTAGAGGATGTGACGGTGAGATTCTCTGACTGTTTGTACTTAACACTTAGCGTTTTAGCTGATTAGATGATCGTATTAGATTCACATGGAATTACCGCAAGGTACAAAAGCAAAGGATTTGGACTGTCGCATTGAATCGACAAAGATTCAAGTGACACTCAAGTCTGATCCAAGAACATCATTACTAAATGGAGAATTTGTTGAAAAGATACGCGTTGATGAGAGTATCTGGTCAGTAGAAAGCAATCACATGCTTAATATTTCACTTGAAAAGATCAAACCGACATGGTGGGCTAGTGCGATAAAAGGTGATCCAGAAATTGATACCAGTCAAGTAGATTCTCAACGGAATATTCAAGATTACGATGAAGTAACTCAAGGTGCTATTCGAAAAGCAGTCTATGATCAGCGTTTACAACAATTGAACGGTGGACAGCCACTTACACCCGAGGAGCAAATGTTGCAGGAAGCCAAAGCTCTTCCTGGCTCCCCGTTTTTACCTCGTACATGATCTTGAACATAATCGAATAAAGATCACGTCAGATAAAAGTTACAAGATACCCCAGTGACGCTCAAAGCTGTTGAGTAAACGACAAATGGCTTGAGCACCACTCATAGGGTACTCCGAAATCGAGATCGTCTCGTCCAGCTGCAATATCAAACAACGTTACTTTTAAGTATCAATTGAATCACATTCTTTCAAAAACAACATACGTACATAATTCGTGTTCTCCTTTGAAATATGACCATGAGCCATAGCTCCAATAATAAATACCACTGGTTCATCTTTAGGCAACGTTTCCACCCATTCCCATGGATTTACAAGTGTTCCAGTACGAGAGAGTGCATACTTTTTGGAATTCGCAGGTAGATATTTCGTCACTGGGTTTTTAATCACACTAAGCAACGTATGATTTCCATCCGACGATCGAATCTTTAGTGTATGAAGTAATTGAACTGCAACGACGATATTTTACTCATCAATCATTACATTTAAACAAGGAAAGACATGACACGTACCCATAAGACCAGCAAAACGTTTATATGTACGTGGTACACGCATTTGCGAACTTACTTCAATCAAGATTCCTTTCGTACTCCTTATATATATCTATACAAAACAAGAAGAAGATAAGCTTAACTCCAATCAACCATATCTTACACATACCTTAAGATATCCAGTTTTATTAAGTGGTGAATCAAGTAATGCCATAAGTTCTTGATGTAAAATATCAGGACGTGATTCACTCGCCTCACGCTCCAGTTTTCGATGTATTCCTTTATGATCATCACAATTTAATAATTGATAACCTTTTGAAGTCTTCACAGTCTCTAAAGCTGCCTGCTCCAGGATCACAATCACTTGTCGGCGTTTCACGTCGTCTTTACTTGCACTCATTTTGAAATATTTCTAATCTCTAACCAGTCATTCTGGAACGAATATTAGTGTACACTACATAACTTTAAAGTTTAGTGTACACTACATAACTTTGCAATGGATCTTGAACGGACGTATTGACAAGGATGATCATTTGGCTCATATATCTTTATCTAATCTCAACTTATGCAGCTATTTTACGTCGTACATGGACAACACAGTCATGGTGTAAGAGTGTAAAGAATCCACAATGGCCATTTGCATATCAAAAGACGAACGTACAGACACTTGAATGGAATGGACGTGTGAATTCAAATGATCAAGATATTCGACATCATTGTTCCGTATTTGGAGTGCAAAGCAAGTGTCATATTTGCAATAACTTTAATTGTACGAATCAAGATACTTGTGCATTTCAATTTCAAGGTGTTCCATGGTCAAGTTTACCTAAAAACATTCCAACTATATCAGACGTTCCATGGGCTGTAAAAGGAAAATATCGATACGATTATCAAAGTGCGACACATCTTTGTGTCTTCTTGTCAGGTGGTTCTTGCTTATCACCATATACAACAAACTTTTCACATTGTGACATCAGATGTTGGGGTACACAATCTGGAGATTTAATGTATAAAGGTGTCCATCCAAACAGAAACAAAAGTGATGCCGAAGCATCAGATATCTGGAGCTATTCCACATCATTTGGACGATCACAAGGAGAAGTTCAAACTTTAGCTGGTGATGGAAATGCAGGATTTCGAGATGGACCAGTTGATCAAGCACAATTTAATCATCCAAGAGGCATAGCAGTCGATTCTGTTGGAACTGTTTACGTAGCAGATACAGCAAATCATCGCATTCGAGTCATTGATACAATTACAAAAACAGTATCAACACTTGCAGGTGATGGTGTACAAGGTTTTCAAGATGGTGCTGCACAGTCGAAAGCACAATTTTCATATCCATCAGATCTTGCAGTGTTTGAATCAAGTTCTGGTATCAGTATTTTCGTAGCTGACACGGGAAATCATCGCATTCGAGAGATAAAAAATGGTTATGTGACTTGTTTCTCTGGATTATGTGGAGCTGGAGTCGAGACTGAACGATTATCGCAAGAACAAGCGCGTCCTCAAGCTGGTTTAGCTGATGGCAATCGATACGATGCACGTTTTGATTCTCCAATGGGTATTACAGTTGATTCAAATGGTCTTGTGTTTGTTACAGATACAGGAAATCACTTAATTCGACAACTTGATCCAAATGGTACAACACATACATTAGCTGGTGGAATACTTCCATCAAAAGATGCGGAAATTCAAGGCTGTTTATCTCCATGTCTACGTGGTGAACGTGGTTTTCGAGATGGCAACTTAACATTTGCTCGATTTCAAAGTCCACGTGGAATTGCTATCGGTCCTCAGCATACATTACTAGTCAGTGAGAATTATCGTCTTCGTCGTGTAACATATGATAGCAATGTAGTTTCTGATATTGAAGGAATTACATCAAGTCATCGTGTTGTAACTCTAGCTGGTTCAAATGTACCTGGACATCTTGATGGTGAAGGGAATGAAGCAACTTTTAATGCACCAACTGGTGTCGCATATGCAGATGATGGACGTGTATATGTTGCGAGTTTTATGGATTGTTCGATACGTCAAATATCTCCTGCTTCACTTGTAGCACGAAATGTTTCATGTTCAACTCGATTGACTCAAGTGTTATATCCTAGTGGTTGTGCATCATATGAACAACCTGTTGATAACTTTTTTCTTCGAATCTCACCAACAGATAACAATATTTTTCATAATTATCTCGAACGAAAGGAAGGAGATTCGATTCGAGGTACAGCCATTTCTGGCCGCACTTTAAAAGATTGTATAGGTACATTACATGATGAGAAACTCGTACAAGGAAATCTTGCCTTCCCATTAAACGAAACAAATCGAATCGAAGACGAAAGTTTTGGTACAACAATCAAAATATATTGTCCAGCTACTTGTGATATTGTTAACAATGTGTACAAAGTATATGGATCTGGTGTCTATAGTGATGCTTCATCGATATGTTTTGCTGCAATTCATAGTGGTGCTATCATAGCAACAGAAGGAGGTCTCGTAACACTTACATTAGAACGTGGAAGTCAATTCACAAGTTCTTTATCTGGATCAATTGCAAATGGTGTGACTTCACTTGATTTCCCAATAGATGAAAATGAACGAGCTCGAGTCTTTCGTATTCAACCATATTTACAATCGAAAGTCCAAGTACAATCAATTGCTGGAGCTCCATATGCACCATTAGGATCACAAGAAGAAAGTTGTGGATATTTAGATACACAACCTCCATTAGCAGCACATTTTCGAGATATTGCAGGACTTGATCTTGGAAAGACTCGATCACTATCAAGAACAAACTTTCTATACATTGCAGACACTGGAAACAATCGAATTCGTACACTTAGTGCAACGTGTGCGAAAGTTTGTGAGAATGGTGGCGTTTGTTCTGCTCCTGATGAATGTACTTGTACTATTGGATGGACAGGAGATGATTGTACGATACCAATTTGTCGTACAAATTGTGAAGCTCGACAAGTGTGTGTGGGTCCAGATACTTGTGACTGTATACCTGGATATAAAGACTTGCCAAGTTGTACCACACCTACTTGTGTCCAAACTTGTACCCCTAATGGAATTTGTACTGCTCCTGATACTTGTACCTGTGCTGTTGGATGGTTTGATGTAAATTGTACCACGCCAGTATGTATTCAGACTTGTGGGAATCATGGAAATTGTACCAGTCCGGATACTTGTACTTGTTCAAATGCATGGACAGGAAATGATTGTCGAGTACCCGTGTGTACCCAACAATGTAACAATGGTGGAAGTTGTGTAGCTCCTGATACTTGCTTATGTGCTGCCGGATGGAGTGGATTTGATTGTAGCTTTCCTATCTGTGCCCAAGGAGATTTTCAATCTGATTTGAATAAATATCATGAAAGTTATGTACCTTGTGATTTTCCTCGTTGGTGTTTTGAAACGAATGAATTCGATTGTCTTCATCGATTATACACTTCATCTAGTCCTCTCGTTGATAGAATGAACTCAATAAAAAGATACAAACATTGTTTGCTTCTTGAACTTGACGTTACAGCACTTACACACTTTCAATATCTATCTGAACTCAATGAAACTAGTTCAATCTATCGATTTGCACCAATTCAACCTTATGGATGGAATACAAATGCATCATGGCGAGGGATTTCTGAATTTGATCTTGGATTTCTTCCTCCATATCGACAATTAAGTGATCGACAAATTGCTCTCGTCGAACGTCGACAAATTGCTCAAGGAAGATATATCTGTGCTCATAATGGAAGTTGTATATCACCAGATGTATGTGTTTGTGCTTTAGGTTGGGCAGGTTTTGATTGCCGTACTCCAGTATGTTCTCAAGGTTTCTATTCACATGATCAAAAGTCATTCTTAGCTGCAGAACCTCCAACAGCTATTCATGAACGACAACCGGAATCGAATCCCAAATATAATGTAACCATTGAAAATATTGCATTTACTTCTGTCAATATTACAATTGTCACTCAAGGAGGTGTACGATATAAACCATCACAAGGAGGTTATGCATGTTCAATTCGTAGTATTACAAAATGGGAAAAACCAGCAACATTGGATGGATCTCCAGCTTATTATTTCGATCATCCAAATTATTATTCACGTTATATGGATCGTCAGTTATCACTTGATGGTAAATATCATACCGAATGGATTGATATGATGTGGCCACCTTTATATATTCTATCAAAACCAATATTAGACAATACACGAGAAGGATGGAAACGACGAGGTAGTTGGAGTGTAATTTCTAATCGAGAATGGCAAAAAGGTGTTTGTCTTGTTGAATTCAAACGCATTTGTTCAACAAAAGCTCAAATTATTGATTTATTATCTGGGACATCTAATGAGTTTGTACTTGACACAGATGCATCATATCGTCCACAAGTTGTATATACAGTTGAGAAAGTTGTTCGTCAAGGCTATTGGAATACTTCAGTCTATGGAGATTGTATTGATCATGTTGTACATGGATGTTTTAATAATGGGACATGTGTAGGACCAAACATTTGTGAATGTGCTATTGGATGGTCAGGTATTGATTGTAGCATACCAATATGTACTCAAAGATGTGAAAATGGTGGAAATTGTACATTACCCAATATTTGTACTTGTGCATTAGGATGGTCAGGATCTAATTGTACAATTGCTTTATGTGCTCAAGAATGTCGAAATAATGGAACGTGTATTGCACCTGATCAATGTCAGTGTGTTACTTGGGATTCTGCTTGGCAAGATGGTCGTGAATATGGTAAAAAACCGATTTTTCAACTTCCGAATGGAAAAGCACAAGTAACAGGGTATACTGGGTACGATTGTAATACCCCTATTTGTGTCCAAGCTAAAAGTTTTGTCTTAAATGTTGCAACTCGCTCTTCGAGTAACTTTCGTGCACTTCGTGGGAATTATGATAGTACCACTACAGCTCGTACATGCGATACCTATCGTTGTCCTCAATATGATGTCGAACTTGTAGCTAATGATGGTCACTCGTTTCAAAGTGGCTGTTCTATCGGCAGTCCCGAATTAAATCCTCAACGCAACTCGGCGCTAACAACTTTTCAACAAATTGAAAATTTACTCAATTTTCGTGATGATTTGAATGTTGCACGAGTGTCTGATACATTTCTTTGTGGCAATGCCATTTGGTATCAAGGTAACTTTGAAAATACGAATAATACAACTCGTATTATACGTACTAATTACGTCAATGTGACCAAAATAAATGATGTGACGTGGAAGTATGGCACTACGTTACCTGGTGAAGGCATTTATGAATGTTATAACTCAGGGGCTTGTGTAGCTCCTGATACATGTGCATGTGGAGATGGTTGGACTGGTATTGATTGTAACACGCCATTGTGTCGCTTTCAAACGGCCGAGAATTTCGTCGATGTCTCATATGGATGTCGCAATGGTGGAGTTTGTGTTAGTAAAGATCAATGTCGATGTGTCACAATTCCATCAGTGCTATACAAAAAGTATCCAACGTGTCCAAGAGGAGAGACTGGGTATTTTGGATTGGATTGTGCTGTACCCATTTGTATTCAAGGTATTTTTGACCCACTTTGCAATGCATCTCTTGTGGCCAAAGCGCTCAATTTGAGTCAAGAAGATACCGGTGTAACCATCAAAGCAAAAAATATTGCTAAAAGTGGTGATGGATGTTATCGTTGCAAAAATGGAGGTCTATGTATATCACCTGATGTATGTTTATGTGCCAAAGGATGGACAGGTTATGATTGTTCTACTCCAATTTGTGAGTTACCCATAACCACCGTCATGGCAATTCGCTCAACACTTTTTACAGTCGACGAAAGCAAACTAGACACTTTTCGTACAGATCCTTGTGGTACAAAAGGTGGACGATGGGGACAAGAACTTTTCAATGGAGCTTTAGTTGGCCAAGGTAATTGCACTCTTCCAATGAAATGCACGTGTTTATGTCGCAAACGGTACGACAAGACAATTTGTGAGTCTACAGGTGAACTTTGTGATAAACCATGGCAAGATCAATTTCATCGATCGATTCCACCAGGTTATGTGTATGGCACACGAGATTGTGTCGATGGATTTCAAGGTGTTGAAGACGAAAATGGCAACTTTCAGAGTTGTCACTTGCAAATTTATGTGCCATCCATATGGCGTCGTTATACTGTCAGTGCTGTGGCCATTGTATCAGTACTTGGTGTGCTTGTCCTTGTGGCTTGGTACTATATCCGAAAAAAGGTGCGTCGAGCTCTACGGCTTGCCAAGGCTCAACGCCGACGTTCACGAAAAAACTCGGAAATCAATATCATCAATAGGCCAAAACAAGGAGCTTTTGTGCACTCAAAAACCAATTAATAAAAAGACAAAAACTACCTTTTTGCCAATTATTCTGTCAATAGCAAGATACCCATTTTGATTCCTTACCCATTTAACACGTCAAGAGTAATTCCTCCTTGTTGCTGCACGTCGTCCACGAGTCCCGTCGCACCATTCAATCCAATCGCTTTCAAACCTTCCGCTTCTTGCAAATTCCCGTCACGACGACCTTGTGACTCGACTATCGACGCATTTCTTGCTTTCAAATCACCATGTTCTTCCTCTAGAAAATCACTACCTGGAATCAAGTCCAAATGACGCATCAATTCTTCTTCTCGCATTAAACGAGAAAGTATCATTTTTTCGAAACAATTTCCACGTGGTGATAAGCTAAACTCCCGTCGATCATTTGGTTCGATATACCGTTCACTCGAGCAACCAAATTTCTCCAATATAGCAGCACATATCATTTCCACTTTGTGCTCGAGGATCGATAGCGACGGAAATTCAGTCATGACACCAAGAAACCAACTGTTCGTGTCTTTTGTTGTTTGAAAATGATGACGATACAGCGGATGAAAAGTCGACGTACCCTCTAAGAATACAGTACGAATGTGGTGCTCTCGGGCTTGATGGTGGAACGGCAACTGACGATCTCGAAGAATTCGTTCCCAACCGTATACTCCGTAACGCGCTATGCCATAGAATACACCCAAGTCGTGAATCCAAGGACACCACCATACAGGCATATCCGCTACTAGACTTGGATGTCCAGATTTCATATACGCTTCAAGTGCATCACGTTTGCTGGACAAAATGTCGAGAACATCTTCTAATAATTGAGTCCGTCGCATCGTCACCCACGCAGTATTACGTGCTTTAAGTCCATGAGCTAAAACACCTTCAAATGCGTCTACAAACTCAATACCAATGAGATCACCTAATGCCATTGCACGTTGATCTGAACCTAAAGGATCCGCACGCATTCGAGCAACTTCCCGACACTTCGGAGCAAATTTCGTCTCGTAAAAGTTGCGAGCCATTACCGCAGTCTTGTTTAAATTGCCCCATTCGACAATATTGCGCCAGGAAATACTATCCGTCTCCCACATAAAGTCTCGAGCATGCTCAGTCACAAAAGGTGACATTGATGGTGTAGCACGTCCATCCATCGCAATAACCGCTCGCTTGGCCAAGATTCGTGGCGCGCCGTGAAGTGCCATCATATATGCAAAGGATCGACGTTCTTCTTTCGTCCAGTCAGTTGCTTTTCTGCGATGAGTTAGAATTGGGGCCGCACTGGCATCAGGAAGTTGACGAGCATTGTTTAATACAGCCATGTGTCGAAGAATATCCACTTGAGCAAGTTGCATAGCTTTGAGTTCCAAGCGACGCAATATCAACGTACGTGTATGCATTTCCTGAGCAATATGACGTCGTTGCTCTAGAGCGACATGCTCTTTTCTGAACTTTTCCTTTTCATGTCGTCGCTTCTGTTCCTCTGCAGATAATAGCCAACCCAGTAAGCGATTCATGTGCTGCACTTCAGGCTGTCGGAATGAATTCGCTGCTGTCGTCACATCATTTGCAGCTGTTGTGCCGGATTCCGTCTTAATTTGAACAGAACCATTATTGTCAGTCAGACAGCTAGAAGCACTTTCAGAGTCACTCATGTCCACATTGCCGTCTTCGTCGGCAGAAAATGTTTTCTCTACATTTGTTAAGTTCAAATCGCCGCCATTGCTTGCTGCTGCTTGAGCTGCTTTCTCTAATCGTGCAAAGTACAGTCGAGGGTCTGCTAAGATCTGGGCACATCGACCGTATCCATGAAGAAAGACCCCCATGAGAAGATTTCGATCAGCGTCTTCGTTCCACCACGGTGTTATCTGCGTCCATGCTGGTCTGTCTCCCACATCAACCAACTCAATATGAGGAATAAGCTTTTCCACTCCGTAGTAAACAGCACGGTCATCGATACAAGCAGAAGGACTAGGTCGTGGTTTGGTAAATTCTTTGTCGTTCTTGTACAAATCATCACAGATATCGCAAGCTATCGATATCAGGTGTTGAAGGCGTTGAAGCATATCGAGTCGGACAATTACTCGACGACCGCCACCTTGTTTCGATTTGAGAACAAAATCTTCTTCTTTCAGTACACTTGACAATTCTTCTTCGTCAATCAAATTCTCTTTCTGAGCCAGTGACGCAGCGTGAATGGACGCCGTGACAAAAGTGGAATCATCTTTCCGCTGGTCACATGCCAAAGCCGACACATAAATAAAGCCACGAGCGAAGCGCTCCACCTCCTTTACGGAGCGACTACCTCCACTTTGACTTCGGATAACCTCCCACCGACCAAATCCGTAATGCATTAACGCACGCTGTAGTCGATCGCGACCATTTTGCGTCCACTCGCGAGGAGCAACTTTTTCCTCCACTCGCTCTCGATCTTCTTTTTCTTTCTCCCGCTTCTCTTGTTCGTATTCATCATCCGAGATGCTGTCGTCCGACAAATTCCCACCATCGCCAAAACGAGCCACACGAGTTCGCTTTCGCTGCTGCGGTAACAAATCCTCGGTTTCAACGGGCTCAGGTTCCGTCAAGCCCACGGCCTTATTCCAAAAGTCCGGATCATCGAGATCAACATCATTCGAAGTTGTAGCTGACACAAAACTGGCCTTCGAGAAGCTTGATTGGGCCTGCTCTGTGTACTGTACAATCTGTGATGAGCGTTGCAAGATCTGATCGATGTCCAGCTCACAAAACTGTTCACCCGCAGTGTCGTCATCACGAAATACATCATAGGCGCCACGCTTCAAAAGCTCATCAATCTCTTTCGATTCTTGTGCCTTCGAGCTTTTGTTGCGTTTCTTGCCACCTTCTTCCTCATTCTCACGACGCATATGCGTAAGAACAGCCTTGTCCAGTCCAAGCTTCAGTGAAGCCTTATGGAACATGTGCATCTCATAAGTCTTGCGAGTGATCAGACGGTAAATCTTGACAGAATGCGTCTGGCCAATACGATGCGCACGAGCTTGCGCTTGTAGATCATTCTGAGGGTTCCAGTCACTGTCAAATATGATCACAGTGTCTGCAGCTGTTAAATTTAGACCCAAGCCCCCTGCTTTAGTCGACAACAACATCACAAAACGCTTGTATTCGGGCTTGACAAAGCGGTCTACAGCAGCTTGACGATCGTTTCCACGAATATTGCCATCCAAACGCTCGTAGAGGTGACCACAATAGCGGAGATAGTCTTCGATAATGTCCAGCACGCGAACCATTTGACTAAAAATCAAAACCTTGTGTCCTCCAGTGTACAAACGAGGCAAAAGCTTGTCAATCAGCACCATCTTTCCGCAACACTTGACCATCATGTCGTGACGTTGAGCATCCGTCGTCAATCCATCGTTCAGAATCTCCTCCACTCCATTATTTAAGTACGGATGGTTGCAACACTTACGTAGTTCCATCATAACATTCATAAGATTCGGTACGTTGCGTGGGTTTCCACCACGGGTCAAAAAGGCTGTATTCTTTTCATAAATCGCACGGTACCATTGCTTCTGAACAGGCGTAAGTTCCACTTCGACAATTGTCTCTTCCTTCGGTGGTAACGATTTCTCTACGTCTTCTTTCACACGACGTAATAGATATGGCTTCAGCATCTTGTGTAGATCAGCCACTTGCTGAGCCTCGTGTAAATCGCCAAATTTTTGAAGAAAATCTGAGACACTGGGGAACGATCGCGCATCTAGGAAATTTAATAGTGCCCACAATTCTTCCGTCTTATTTTGAAGAGGAGTTCCCGTGAGAAGTACACAGTGATCACGCCGTAACAGCCGCATCTGCTCAACGAGCCGAGACGATTGATTTTTCAATCGATGCGCTTCATCTACTACAAGACAACGCCAATGAATCTTCGAGAGCACAGCAATATCCTTGATTGCCACTTCATACGTTGTCACAAGGATATTGAAACGATACATTTTTTTCTTGTCCGGACGGAGATTTGCATCCAAATAATTAAATTCAAAGTCCCGAATGATTTCACGTGATGCGCTGTTGCCGTGATATACAACACAATTCATCGTTGTCCACGTTTCGCATTCATTTTGCCACTGCACAATTAACGACAAAGGCGCGACAATCAAAAAAGGGCCACGAATTTTGATCTTCGGATCATCTCGTAGTAAATTCAAGAATGACAATGTTTGAATTGTCTTTCCCAATCCCATTTCATCAGCTAAGATACTCGGTCGTTCATTGTACCAGTTCCAAAGCAGCCAATTCAATCCTTCGAGTTGATACGCACGCAGCGAAAGCGACTGATCTTCTCCAAATCGTGGCGATTCGTCCAATTTGCGGTAGTCACGAATACTTGGTCGCGGTCGCGGCTTCCAGACATCTTCGTCTGGCACAATAATGGATGCCTTGTACTTCCCAAGTGCCACGTCATCTTTTATATCACACGCACGCTCCCATGTGGCTTCCGTGTATGACAAAACGCGCCACTTGATATAGTATCGCACACCATCATCTTCGGGAGCATCTGGAAAATTCGGATCTGGAGGCAGTGGTACATCTTGACGGTGAGCAATAATCCGATGAATCTCGAGATATTCCGGATTAAAGTACTCAAGTTCATCAACCGCAAGAGATTCTTGGTCCAAATCGTTTTGACGATGTGGAAACTGTAGTCTTTGGTGTTCTTTTTCATGAAACCGTTTAAGTTTTTGCTTGTTAGTCAATGGATCAAGATCCAATAGCACTTGCTTGGTCTCCCACGATGCGTGCATGTAAGCAAATCCCTTCCACTTAATCAAATACTCGTTGATCATTGACTTAGCTGGTCGATTGGCAAATAAAGTGGCACTAGCCGATTCTTTTCGTGGTACAGATACTGGCTCAACGCATTCTCGAGTTCGAACGCCCATGATCTTGTCAATGACCATCTGCGTCCCATTTCCTTCTTCATCAGTCGTAGCCTCATATTTAAGCTTTGTTGTATCGACTTCTAGCTCGGCTTCATCTGATGCCTCCGAGTCGTCATTACTCTGTTTCTTTCGTCGTTTCTTCTTATCAGTATCCGAACTTGTCATGTCATCGTCTGAATTCGGGACATGGTACGACTTTCGCTTTTGATTCACTGAGCGTTTACTCTGTCGACATTCATCCTGATGCTGCCGCGACTTGTTGCCATCTTTCCCTACTTTTGGTTTTCGACGTATGATGCGACGGACGTGGCACGCCTCACATTCACGTGTCCGTCGGTCTCGGTTTGGATGCTCACAAGATGCACAGATCCATGGCATTTTCACCGGCTTTGAGGGTTGAAGCTTACGTTTGCGCTCACGCATGGCTTGGTGGTTAGCAAGACTTGTGTTACACGCTTTCATTGTGCTAAAGTCGTCGTCAGGCTTCTCACAGAGTGGACAAATATAGGCATCGAGTGCCTCTAGCTCCACTTGTGTTAGAATTAGACCACAACAGTTTGGATGGACCCAACCGTTGCAACCGCCAGAGCCGCGACTGCATTCAATCATGATGCCAGCGCCATCACTCTGTCGGCACACGCAATAGAGCGCAGACTCGGGCGTTGTCATGGCAGGCCCGAGGGGGAATGGAAGGGAAAAAGTAAGAGTGAAGGTCGTCGCACCCTTGTCTCTTCCCGTCTCTCGTGCGGAAAAGTGTCGCTCAGCCCTTTAAAGTGCCGCCCCTCTTCTCTGAGGATAAACCACCGCATCATAATTCCATCCAGTGCTTTAGCGGTGTACCCCTAATTGAGTAAGGGTACAAAATCTATTTCGGGATCGTAACCCTTATGGAGTAAGTACGGTCTAACTTTAAACAAAGATTTGAATTAGTTGTAGTAGATAAAGTAGATTACTTAAGCTTCTTAAGTGCAATTGTTACTGACCAAGACACATATATAAGCAGCCACAAAGTCAGAATGAGCTTTGTATTACGAGCCTATCGCATCAACCTGGCTCTTCACTTAAAAAGAATTTTTTAGATGAAAATAGTGTCGTCCTTATTTTAGCGGAAATTTGTCAGATTTAAAAAAATTCGAGTATTTGATTTTTTCTGCTTGTATTCTATAAAATAAACATTGTCACAGCTGGATCACCGACCTTACGTATTGTACAAAAATTAGTACGAGCGTAGCGGATCGCAATCTGCTATCTCCAAGCGTACTAAAAAAACTGAACCAAGGCAAAGACGTTCAAAATGAAAACAGTATTTAATTGTTTTATTTGCAGCAGAATCTATATATAACCTTAGATTTTCCTAATTAATATAATAAAACCCAATTCATATGCATCACTACTGGGAGTCTTGCAATGTAGTGGTTTCTCGTTACGGTGTACCACACCATTGTGTGATTACAACAACTTGTGTAATCCACACCTTTGTACGGTTGTACCATTTCGTGTAACCCTTTCGTACGTAACCCCGTTACACTCTCCCCAATCAAAATTGTGAAAACCCACAATTCACATTTAATTGTCGCCTCATACGAGGCTCGCGTATCTGCGACACTGTTTCGTCCTTGAGAGCATCTTTGAACATTTTCCGCTCAATGAGAGCTGGTCTATGACACAAAAAACACCCAGCATAGATGGTCCCGTGGCGCCCGCGGGTACAGCCCATCTTCTTCTGCACGGGGTGTGTAACGGGGTTGGTAACAGGAGTATGTGTCACACCAGATGGGCATGGTATGACCACACCCAAACGAATACGGTACAGGGCTGGATAGCCAGTAATTATACATGTATTAAGATGTTACTATACATATTTAGGTAAATCTATGCTTTTAAAATTAGGCGGCTTTGCCGCGGTAAAAATTAAATACATTCAGTTTTGGATTCAAACGGAAGAGTTAATTAGCCTTGGGTA